TTTCTTGTACTGTACTTTCATTACTATCACTTTGAAAGCAACATCAGCAACTGTACAGTGTCTGCGTCTGCTGTGCTGTATTTCACCTAAAAAAAATTCATGTATGTGTTCCTCTTGTATGACTGTCCATTACTAGTTAGCTTAATAATAACTCTAGTAACTATTCATACAGACATAATTGTAGACATACATGTACTAGTATATTGTTTACGTAACCCAGTGTTTTATAAGAAAGCATATCAGAAAACAGTAGAATCAGAGGTTCAAGATAATACCACATATGTATGACATTCCTGCAATTTTCCTTTCCAGATTTCCGTCCTCACAAGTGCAAGTTCTGTAAATACCGCAGCCGACAGATGAACCAGCTGAAGATCCACATGCAGAGACACAAGGGTGGGTTCTTATTTATTTATCATCTAAAATGTTCTTTGTACCATGGAAATTATGGTGGAAAGATTGATTTTACATGTGACTACCCAGAATCAACTTTTCAAGAAATGAACATTGAAACTGTAAGATTTGATCCACTCAAACCCTTTTTTTTTTTGAGTGTGTAACATAGCCAGCTGCTGCCTTGCTGAGTGCCTGTGAAGCTGGTATGTTACACTGAGAGGCAGTTACAATGTACACTAGCTATACAGATACAGTATGATAGGACCTCCACTCACTCATTCCAGCTATACAAATGCTAAAAATGTACAATAGAGGCCTTCATTGTCTTCGTCAGAAGGACTATGAAATTGTCTCGCCGGAGTGTGGGGAACTGCGGATTTTACGATATAACTCTGGAAGGCATGATTCCACGTCCATGATTTTTGGCAGGCAGATTACCGCTGTTAAGGCCCAAGTCAAGTACAAGTTTCGGCTTCGTGGGGGGTCTGTGCGTCACGTAGGTGCACCTTTTGTGTTTGTGGCTTGTTAGCAAGATAACTCAAATATTTGTAAAATGTTGACTATAATTCTTGGTGTGGTGCTTACTATTGTCGGGACCAAGGTTAAGTTCGTTACTGAGCTTCGTGGGGGGTTTCGTTGTGACTACAAGGGGCATTTTGTTAATTTTTCTTGTGAGCAGGATAACTTTTGTATGTGTGGACGGAAGTTAATGAAATTTGATAGGCATGTCACTGTGGTGGTCTCCAAGATTGAGTTCAAAGATGAGAGTCGTGGAGGTCGTTATGTCCCCGTAATAGGACCTTTTGTGTTTAGAAATCCCCCACCTACATCTGCTTGGAGACAGCCGACAGCTGGATATCGCCGGGGAACCTCATAATGGGATGGGATCAAATGACGTTACATGGAGGGATTGTACTATAACTTCAGCAGGGGGAGGATAGGTTGGACATATGTCAGGTTATTTTCTACGGCCACACCAAGTAATTGCTATGGATGACGTCCACTGGAGACCTTAAATCTAATTACCTTAAATTTAAGGCAAACGCGCAATAAAAACACGAAGGGCCGAAAAAACGAGATGCCTAGATTTGGAATATACTAACTGTAGAAGTACAAATGTTAGGACACAAAGAACACAAGAAACAAGACAGTCTTCTATTTGTCATAAAGACAAATTAACAAAACAGCAGTAGTCACCCTGTTCTGATTCTTTCCTTTATTATTTTTTGCGGCGCTGTCGTGACACTTTCAACACAGTAAGAATTTCTTGAACGTTTTTTTTCCAGTAACAGTCCAAACTCAAATAACGTGTGTGTGTGTGTGGGGGGGCTAACACGGGTGACGACGCATCTGTATAATCTGCGGCAAACCGTTTCAGGGTGTTCTGTACCATAAAAATACTAGTAGTACAGAGATTCTTTTGTTCTTTAGACCAAATTGATTATTAAAAAGAGTAAAGAATACGCATGTTAATTTCTCTAGAACGATGTACCTCTGACGAAGACATGAGATCTCCGACCTCTAGTTTATTCATTTGTTTGTTCATCTACATTTGTATGAAATTTGCTGTTCCAGGAGTGTTCCGACCTTTCCGCTGCCCTGCCTGTGACTACTCCTCCTCCACAAAACCTGAGATGAAGGCTCACGTTGCCAGGCACCTGACTGTCTGGACCAATCACATCTGCCCATTCTGTTACTATGGTTTCAGGTCAGTAAAGGAATCATTTCAAAGTGGTGGCAAGGTCGTCTTAATAGTTATAGGTGGCAAGGTAGACTGTGGTTAGGGTTGTCAAGTTGGAAATAAAATAAGTACATGTACTCATCTTCACCTGAGTGTAGTGAAGAAATAGGACTCCAGTAAAGTGCCTTCCCAATAGACACAATACTGGGGCCTGCTAAAGACTTGAACCCAGAATTTTCAGATTCTAAAAGTCAACAGTCCAAAGCACAAGACCATCTATGACAAGACTAACATTAGAATACATGTACAAAATGCACTAGGTTCTAGTTAGTGTTGTTTCACTGGGCCTGCTAGGGATTCCTAACTTAGAATCTTTAGATTCTAGGTCAACAATCTTAACCGCAAGACCACCTAAGACAAGACAAATCTTCTACATTGTACTTTGTACTAAGTTCTAGTTAGTGCAGTTTCACTATTATCTAGCAAGCAGTACAATGTATTACTGCTCATAAACACATGGTTACTTATTGTTTTGCAGAACAAATGATGAACTTATCGAACACCAGTCTACCAAGCACGGGTCAGTAGAGGGAAGTGCTTCAACCTCGATAGGCCTGGCACAGCGAAACTCCCACCTGTCTGTACCACAGTCATTTCAGCAGGGCAACCCAGCTCTCATAGGCATGGTCGGACAAAACCCCTCCCTGGTCCCTGGTATAGCAGGAATGCCTTGGGAGAACCCTGCACTTTTGGGAGGCGCAGCTCTCACAACCAACCACAAAGACAGTACAACAGAGGAGGAGAGTGTAGAAGACTTGGGTAGGAGTAATGGAAATGATGTGGGTTTGCTTCAACCTGGCCTTGTTATCCAAGATGTCAGGAGTCTGCAATCTACTGAGGGGGACAGGGAGTCTACAGAAGTGTTCAGGTCATCGGAGGAAAGGGCTACTGAACAAGACTTGGCGAAAGACATGCTAGTGGAGTCAGAAAGTGCTATTGATGATGTGCAAGCAAAAGTACAAGTTTCTGATCAAACATTTGTAGAAGAGAGTAGAGAGAGTAGAGTAAGACAAGGAGCCGTAGAGAGCAAGGGAGCTGATACAAGTGTAGTTTCTCCCCTCACACAGGACAGTGACACATACACAGTGCAATATGGCAAGAGGAAGTTGACCTCTACAGAGAACGAGTGGCCAAGTGCAAAAGAAGCAAAGAGGGACGACTCGGTGCAAAACAGTGGTGCAACTATTGCTGTTTTGCGACCAACCGATGAGTTGATTTTGTGCAACACGTTCGGACACAGTCGCAAACAAGATGTGGAATTGTCTCCAGGGCAGCAACTGGAATTCTGGGTAAAGAAGAACACAGTTGCAGCCCCACAATGCAATGGGGATGTTGCAGAAAAGGCCACAGAGATCTCAAAATGCAATGGAGCGTTAGAAGTAAAAGAACGGATAGACTCTGACAATCCGGACTTGATAAATGTAGATTATGACGACCGTGTTGAAACTCGTGTTTTTACAAAGATAGAGAAGGTGGAGATGAAATGCAAGGCCTGTAACTTTTCAACAGTTGATCAGAAAATAATGAGAGAGCATGTTATGAACTGTGCTTCAAACCAGAGATGAACTACATGTACTTGTAATCTACTAGTGTAACATGATTTATCATTGAATGAATCATATATGCATTTGTACATTTTTCTTATGCTTCTCCACCAGTTTTGGACAATCATAAATGTGGAAAACCAAAGTACTGCCTCATTTTATGTCATAGGGCTGACATCTTTTTATTTTGCGTTTTATTTTATGTTTGTATTTTACTTCTTTTTTTAGTTCAGAAATTTAGCTTTCAGTAAGGACTTGACTTCTCCAATGTCTTCACTTTGAATGTTATACTTTGATATTGAAGGTGTCTTCATGTTGCTTGTTGATACCCATATACATTTGTACTAGTATTAGCATACATTTGTACATATGTACTAGTACAAGCCTTATACTACAAACACTACATGTATCTGTGCTACAGGTTAGTAATACAAAATGTGTACATTTTAAGTTGTAGTTTATGTTTCAGTATTGGACCTATATTTTTTTCTTTGTAAATATGTAACTTGTAGCATTTTTTTTAAATCCTATGTTTTCCACCAACCATTACCTCCCAAGTGTTAAACAGTGTCAGGTTCACTGTTTACTAGTAGTTTTATTGTGTGGATACATCTCAGGTACAGACTGTTTCAGCCATTATTTCACTTCATAGGTACGTCATACTCTGCCATGTGTGTATTCAGCTTCAAACTAAAAAAAAATTACACAAATCTGTAAAATCCTTGATGTAGTCTGTTAATTGGGGTCACATTTTAAAGTTAATTCTACGTCACCTTGTCTTCGGCATATAAGAAAATTTACAAATTGACTTTGGACACGAATGAATTAAAAATGTTAAAATATATATAATATTATAGATGATAAAATGTACCATTGATAAGCACAGTATCTTTCAGGAAGAGAAATGCGTCATTCATAAGTTTGAATATTGTCATGTACACTAGTGCTGTTCTTGATGATGTAACAAATTGTAGCGTCTCACAACTTACATGTATCTACATACATGTATATATTATATATATCAAAACTGACACAAGTGTTATTCCAAAAATGACATTTATTCCTTATAATACATATTGTATTTTTAACACGCCATGAAATAAAATATTAAAAGCTTACCCTTACAATGCCTCTTGTATACTTATGAGTACAAGGGTGCTAGTTTTTCTCTAACACATGCAACTAGGTTTGAAGACTTCATAACTACTATCAGCCTCCATAGCATGCCAAAAACTGGGGGGTTTGGGGGTCTTTGGGATCTTTTATGTTCTATTTTCTGATTGCATATAGACAACATAGCTGGCCTGGTTGAATTACCCCCGTTTTTTGAACTGGGCTAATCAGAAAACAGCCGAAAAGACCACAAACCCCCCAGTTCTATAAGCCTGCTATGGAGGCTATACTACTATATTGTTGTGTGAAAGAAGCATTACACGCAGTACTACAAGGTACAGCAGTAGGAATCATTGGAAATTTTATACTCAGTCCATCACCCTACACTTTTTGTAGGATATGCAAATCTTGCAATAACAAATTAATGAGGTTGAATTTTCAACTATAACATGTTCAGATTTTACAGTTTACATAATACAAAATTTACAATGTACCACAGTCATCATCTCAGTCTTTAACAAAGAATTTGAAGGGCCACAAACTTAACTGAGAATACATGTACAATATAAGATGGTTCTTTTTGAAAACAGTGGGTATTCATATCAAAGGTTTCAGTGACAGTCTGTCTTTAGGGCAGCAATGACTGGTTCTGATTCGTACTGCAGCTAGATGTCACTGCTGCAATATTACAAACGTGGTCCCAAATGTAAAGTGTTATCACACGATATATACATAGTGTCAAGCTTGGTAATACAGTTTCTGTTATAGTCTATATCCCTCCTTATCACAATTCATAACTGGAGTGCATTGGCCAACCCAATGATCATGAAGTTACAATATACTCGGAGATTTACTGAGTATCCTTTATTACTACAATCTACTCTCGTTTGCTGCCTTTAAGCACGCAGTGAGAGGGCTCCTCTCGAGCGCAAACGACGTCATCATTCGCAAAACTGCGTGAACATGATCAACCGACAAAATCTTCAGCCTTCCAACTTTATCCACGAACAGGACAGGTGTGGCTACGAGAGACAGTTTCATCATGTCTAAGTGGATTTTGAAGTAGTCGAAAACGTGCGTCTCCAGCGCTTGTCGGAAGAGGTGGAGCTCGTCAAGTTGGAGACCATTTTCTGTGTCCTCTGAGACGCTGTTTAACAGGGCCTGGGCCAGTTTGACGGGGATTTGGAGGGATATTTTGTCCAGACCTGCTTCCTTCAGGGGTACATCATACTGTAGGTCCAGAGTCTGTTGTTTCACCTACAAACAAACAGTCAAAACATTAGCTACATGTACATATGAGTGCATATTATGTGAATATCATACTTTGAGTCTGAGTTTAGGAGTATTTTCCATCTACATGTATGCAACATTTCTATGTTTTTTTCACAACACGCAAGTGTATACAAGTGCAATCACTAAGTTGACTAACATGTACTTTGAAAGTCAAATTAAAGTTTGTAAATTTACTATTTTTAAAGTCTACAAAGTCAAAATTTCTTCATCATGGTTTTGGATAAAAGTCAAGCCCAGTGTTTCATACCACAAAATGTTTCCTTTAAAGGCTGAAGCTTAGCTCACATTAACACTAAGGAATAACACAGAAAACAAGCCAATGGGGTGGTTTGTTACATCTCCTGCATCCAATAGGATCTGGTGTAACATCCTTACCTTGCCACTGTTACCCCTGACCAGTCCCAGTGCCATGGCCCACAGGAGATCAGACGACTGGAAGGACATGGGACAAACTCTGCAGTCAAACCTCTGTTCCAGCCAGCTCACTACAGCATTCTGTAAACAGTTAACAGTGTTACTCCTCAGCATGGATGGATATTTTGCATCCAGAGTGAATAGACTCATATGCACTAATGAAAATTTTACGTATACTGTATCAAGACAGAGTAAAAACTGCCAAAAAAACACTTACTGATGTGAACTTCTACTGTATTCAACTTTGGGTTAGGATAAGAGAGAAGAACACAGAAATACCTGCAGAAAATGGACTGGGTGTGGAGACTAGTTCCAGTGCAGCTACAATGGTGAAACCTTCTTTTCTAATCTCTCTTTAAATATGTAAATTTTACCGAACAGGATGACGATATTAGAAGTGATTGAGGTTTTGCTAGATTAAGCCCATGGTTAAACTTAAAGTCATACACAATTACTGTATATATAATACAGATCCATACAATACATGTACTAGACTAGACCCACCTGCAGTGTTGCTGGCCCTGTCATGAGTAGAAGAGGGAGTACAGAGAAGGCCCCCTGCTCTGTCTGTGACACCTCCCCCTCCACATTACACAGCACAGCGTACAGACTGCCCGATCTTCCTGGGGTGTCTCTTCTCTTCACTGTGATCTCCAGGGCAAAACTCTCATCTGAACAAGATAGAGGAATGCAGTGATGATTAGAAGTCCAAATTTCTGGTGCATCTAATCATACAAAGCATCCATGATGAAGTAGAATTTAGCAGTGGTGTTGGGAAAATACAATACAGTGGCTTGCTAAGATGATCCAATTCAATGGATCAAATACACACACACAGTGTCATACATTACATGCACACACACACACACACACACACAGACCGATGTCTTTCACCTGCTTACGTTTCTTACTTAAGTGGACCTTATAGACACTGAAACATAAGCAGTTGTAAGGTGAGAGACATTACTGGTTGTGTAAAAGAAAGCTCCACTAGACTAACCTGTATCCTCCTTCACTGTAACTGCAGCCTTGTACATGTTAGCATCTGCAGCTGTAGCCAGCTGTGCCAGGTGCAGGGACAGAGCACCTGACAGCTGTTTGACACCTGCCTTGTCCCACCTGTACCTGTACAGCGGTGTAACGTGGTACACACTCAGGCTGCACCTGACTAGACCGGACCAGTCTGGCTGGGCGTCAACCTACAGAAAACAAACAAGGATGATGTTTCAGATTTGTTGTACATGTAGAATGAAAAGCTACCAAACTATTTGCTTACATTGTTATACGCAAGGCAGGCAGAGATATCTAGGTAACTATGGCAGACTTCACAACCTTAGCCATACTGCTTTGTGATCCTCCTAGTGCAATGGACAAAAAATTACAGCACCAAAAATCTGTGGCAATGTGTACATTTTGTACATTACAGAAATACACAGAGATATGCTAAAAGTTAGTAAAAACTGTAAAACAGTCTTCATGTTTTGGGGTGAAGCAATAATAAATACTACATGTATATGAAAGAGCATCCTTGATAATGATAAGGCTTGCCTCATCGTGTATACTATTAGTATTACGTAATGTTCTACCTGTAGCTCTAACCTTCATTGACCTGTACATTTTATGAAGAAATATGAACTATACCCACCTCTTGTGTGTTAGTCCTGTCTGTAGCAGGGGACACCATACTGCGAGTTCTGGGTGTTCTGTAAGGCGTGTATCTCCTCTGAAGGTGACCTTTCTGAAGTGTTCTATTGAGTCTGCTGACACTCAGACTGGTGCCCCCCTCCCCACCAGGGGTGTCTCTCACACCTGTGCCAAACCTTGTTTAAAAAAATGAGGAAGGAAGAGAAATTTGTAAATATGTTAATAGAAAACAAACTAGAAAAGGATAAATAAAAAGGAGAGGAACTGAACATGTGATTCCTTCCAATATTGGAAAAAGCAGCATGAGACTGAGAGGAGCACAAAGTGATGAAATATTACTAAACTCACATGAGGGAGAAAAGCTAGAAGGCAAGCACATGGTAGTCTCCACCAGACTCTTTTGTAGGCTGAATAAATAGTAGAAATTGGCCTAAAAAGAATGTAGCTGGCCAGGGGAGTTGCATGGCAAACTGGACACTCTATGGCCGGCTAACTCCTTGATACCTTGATACATCTTCAGGAGAGAAGGCTTCTCGTCAGCCTGTTGTGTCCTGGTCTTCACTCATACTGCGTACTTTCATCTCTCCCAGTGATTATCTAACCTGGTTTTGAACTGGTTTACTCCGCTGGCCAGCTACATTCTTTTTAGGCCCATATCTAAGTTACTTATTCAGCCTGCAAAGGAGTCTGATGGAGACTAAGCACATGGGACTATCTTCCAACAAAGGAGAGTGGATCAACAGATAAGAACAACCACACACCTGGTGCTTCTGTAGGTGTTCCTCTCCGAGGCAGGTGTGTCAGACACAGCTGTGCCAGGTGTGCTGGTGTCGTGGTCAGGTGTGTCAACGTCCTCAGGCATGGCTCTACAATTTGTGAACCTGTGTGTGGAGAAAGGTAATACTGTAATCAGATTCAGACACATTAGAAACTGTAATACTTTTTTGCTGTTGATACGAAAATCCAACAAATACACCAGATGCTTAAAAACCACAACAGGCACAACTGATGTTTGACTACAGAGCTCTGGATCATCCCCAGAAACCAGAGATGTCTGTGCACTGAGACTGAAAGAGAAGAGCGGCCTAAATGGGAACTCTCCTACCTGGCCGTACACATGATCTACTCTACTCTTAGGTCTGGGCCTGTACTAGTACCTTTTTTACAGGGTTACAGGATTTTTTTTTTCTTTTTAGGAACACAGCCCTAATTTTAAATATGGAGTTTGGCTTTTACCTTGATAGTAAATTAAGTTGATACGGGTTTAAAAAATCTAAGTTTGACCTCCATTTTCCTTTTTATACTTATGCTATCTCTGCTTTCAGTATTCTAAGTATGCAGCTGACTTCTCGGCTTTTTCACAACGCTTGTTACTAGTGTTAGTGTCTTGGACCCCCCTCCCCACTATTTCCGCATTTATATAAGCCCATATTATAGAGTAGAGTAGAGTAGAGATAAGCTAACGAAACAACTTTTTTCGTGGAATGGGGAGTCCAAAAGTTTGTGCGAACCATAAACATCACTGTTAACTTTGTTTTTGCTCTAAAATCGAAGCAAAGTTATCAAAACAACAACTCACAAAATACTCACAACCGACGATTTCGATTCAATCCTGCCGCCCAAACTGGCCCGAACGTTTGTCTTCCTGTCCCTTCATCTGATTGGTCAATTTTGAGGGATAGTACAGTACTGCACCTTTTGGAAGGATGAAACATATGAAAAGTATCAATTTTACACTATAAATGACCTATAATGTCAAAAAAATCGCATTGATGTTTACACTTTTGAAAATAATTCTTTGTGTAGAAAATTTATGCAAAAAGTATTTAAAAGAGTGAACTTTTTTATTCATCCCCAATACATGAACTAACGTACTATCCCGTACATCCCATGAGCCACCACTGTTACCTTTGACCTTATCAAAATGGCGGCAAGATTTGGAGTTCGATCTCGGAACACATAAACTTTCACGATTTTATCGAAAAAGGAAGACTTTTTCTCTACATTACCGATTACATACCGAAGGCGAGATGCGTTTTCGAGCAAAGATCGTCGATATCGCCTGCATACAGCATTTCACGCGTGAGTATTTCCGAGTTTTGTGGTTTGATTTCGATGCTTGATGCAACCACAGATTTTTGAACGTAGCACAGTATTTGTCGCACGATTCAGTCAGTGTGCTTTCACCCCATAATCATATATACCATTTCGGAGGGATGATATATTTATACCATATTGTAAGAAAATAATGTGATAAATAGTTAATTCTATTTATTCGAAGAAAGGAACATATTTTGAGGATTAAACTTCGGTGTGTGATTGGACATTCCCTGTGTTGTCGAACCGGCTGCTATGTTCAGCCAAGTTGCTGAAGAGGACTCGAAAATGGCGACAGCTCGGGAACATGTTGATCCGTTGGACGCCGCTTTCGACGAAATATTCCTCGCGGAAGAAAAATTCCAAAACCAGGGCTACCAAGAAGGATTCGAGCTCGGAAAACAAGCAGGGATCGAAGAGGGCCGCGTCATGGGGATCAGCCAGGGGAGATCTGTTGGATCAGAAGTTGGATTCTACCACGGATTTGCTTGTTCATGGAAAGTTATTCTGGAGAGCGACACTTCTTCAAAAGGACCCCGAGCCCTGAAGGCTGTGGACGCACTTTTGGAGCTGATCTGGAGAATACCTATAAGGAATGCGGAGTATGGCAGTCTTACAGAAGACTTGGACAGGATAAGAGCCAAGTTTAGACAAGTCTGCTCACTTCTTGGTGTATCTCCTGACTTTGGGAACACCAAATCGTCCCTGTCGTTTTAGATAGTTTGTAAAACCAAAGTCGTGCTTTCTTGAGAACTGTGTCGTCCAAATATCTGATCACCAATGCAAAGATGATGGTGTGGAAAAACGGATAAGATAGAATAATTTTGCTTATCTGAAGTCTTCTGTCAGCCCTTCACAACTGCAGTGCAAGTATTTTTGCAGCTATTGGATTACAGAGAAGATTTGTATGTGACAGCTGGCTGTCTGATTGTGCCTTTACGACGGGGGATCTGTTACTATGATAGCAATGGATCTGATTGATCAAGACTGGAGCTGCTGCCTCCTTGTTTTACGTGTTCACCAACAACATGGATCAGTTACAGAAACCTTGACCTCAGATGACCTAGCAACTAGTAGAAAGTTATTCTACTGAATAGCTACTTGTGTTATATGAACCTGACAAATGTTTACAGAAATTCAAGCAGGAGTGGACTTTATGCAATTTTTATATGACTGACTTATAAATTAGTGTTTGTCTTCACCATACCACCATGTTTATGGTACACATTGTTTAGTTCTGACTGAAAAAAAGAATGCTAAGTTATCCAATGCTGTTCCTGGCCTATAACTTACAGTATAAGTTATAAATGTACTGTGTAATATAAGTTAACTCATTTCCATGACTCATGAGCACTGTACTTGTCAAAGTATTTTGAATTTTTACCCGTAAGGGATGACTCGTAAAAATACTGTATCTTACCTTAGATGCTGTAGTTAAGATATGTATATACATGTACTAGTAGTGCATGTACACACTTATAAATATTATGACATTGTTGTAACAGTCCATTATTTTCATGATTTGTCATATCAACATGGAGATTCTTTTCTACTCTGAAGTTTGAAGACTTAGAGTTTCTTGCTGCTTTACAAAAAGGTGCTACTGTTTCACTACAAATAAAGTCTTTAACGTCATGTATTTGGCTTTGGTTGTAACTCATCTTTCACAGTCTATTTTGAGACAGTATGTAACGTTATGAAAGAAGCTAATACTATTATTATTAAGGCATAGACAAAACCAAGTTGCATGTGTACAAAGATAGATAATGCCAACAATTGTGCCACATGTTAAAACACAGGCTGGTTTCTGGCACCACAGCACAAGTCAGAAAGGACAAACAATAAAATGCATATAATAGTAAGTATTTATATATTTATTATTAATACTAAGTATCAATAACAATCAGGCATTTTTAGTTTATTTTTAGCTAGTCTGAATCTGACTACCTTTTGCTGCAAAGAAAATAACCATGCTGCTTCCCCTATTGACAGGAGTGGTCTCTACCATCTCGAAGCTGTGTAAGACCTGCACCTTCCGACTGACTCCTGGGAAAATCTACTTCATCCTGTCTGAACAGGTGGCTAACGGCGGGGTCAGTATGTGGTGTGAGCTGCCGCAGGTAAGGTGCTTCAATAAAACATAGCTTTAAGCCGGTGATATATATCAGATATGCAGGTTAGTGCAGATAAAATTGAACCTGCAGATAAAATTTGAGCTATGCAGGTATTTCTGATGATGTCTACCAGGCCTGGGTGTCATCGAATTTCAAATGGCAACCCAGAAATCTTTCGGGATTACCGTTTCGAATTGGATGGCACCCTGGCTACTGTCTACCTGCACTGGCTCAATCATTTTGCAGGTAAGGTTTGTCTGGTACAGGTAAATTTGTACCTGCACTTTTAAGCCTTAAAGTTTGTAAGTTTTCCTACTGGTATTTCTGCAAGATATGATTTTGGATCCAAACTCTTTCTGTTTTGTTGTTATTACCTTCGCCAAGAAGGTTATGTTTTCAGTAGCGTTTGTCTGTGTGTGTGTTTGTGTGTGGTTTAGCAAGATAACTCGAGAAGCAGTGGATGGATTGGAATGAAACTTGGTAGGTGGGTAGGTCTACATGAGACCTAGAAATGATTAGATTTTGGGCCCCCTGGCGGCTTTCCTAGGTACTGCAGCTGAACTTCCGGTTTTGATATCTCATGTTCTGGACATGCTAGGGTCACGAATTTTGGTTGGCAGATAGCTCTTGGGGTAGGGAAGAAGTGACATGAGTTTGGGTCCCCTAGCGCCTTGTTATGGAACTGCAGGAGCATTTGTTGAAAAAAAATTGAAGGACGATAACTCAAGAACCGGTTGACGTATTGTCGTGATTTTTGGTATGTAGGTAGTTGAAGTGATGCTTGACATAATCAGATGGCAATTATGCAAATCAGGAGATAATTTGCATAATTAATGAGGAAATTCTATAAATCTGCTTTGTTCGATAATAGAACTACGAACACTTGTAGGGAAGGGATAGGGAATGAGAAAAAACATCTGAGGATATAGATTATGTAAATGAGGACCTAATTCGCATAATTAATGGAAAATTTTTATACTTTCATAGTTGTAACTACTGGGAATTTCATACTTGCCACATTTGGAAGTTAAGTGAAGGTGAACAGCAATAAACATAATTTATTCAAATCATGACCTTATTTGCATAATTTATGAGGAAGTGCTATAATAGCCTTTTTCTTAAGATAAGGCTATCTATCATTGGGTGGAGAATATGATCAACTGATGTAATCTATGCAAATGAGGCTCTTATTTACAAAATCAATAATTAAAATTGTATAATTCGTCAACCGCAAGGGTTAACATCATTTGGCGAAGGTATGAGATCGTGGAACTCTTGTTGTATATTTTAAATGGCTGTGAGTTTTACTTAATTCCATTGAAATTGAGCATTCAACCTGAAATGTTTCGGAAAAATACCCATACGTTTTTCCTGGAGTAATTAAGATAAACAAAAAATAACAGACTTTCCACATGTTTGTCCTTGTACAGGCGAACTTCTTTGACCAGTTCCAGATGGACGGAGTGTCTACCGAGGATAATGAAATCTACCTGGAGCTGGTACCAGACAACATGAGCCGAGCGCTCAAGTCTGCACAGGCTGCAAAACTGGTCAAAATCAAACTCACCAAGAAACATGCTGCATGTCTTACCTTTGAAATTGAACTGGTGAGTTTTAGCAACTTACTCTTAGGCCATGTCAGTGTATTTCCTAAATTCTGAGACATTTTAGTAGAGTTAGAACTTTCGAGCACTTACTGACTAATAGGTACATGTATTTGTAAAGGTACTAATTTACACTAGTATACACATATTTTTGACATTCGTGTGTCACTATTGCCTTTGAAATTAAACTGATGAGTCCTAACCATTTTACTCTCAGGCCACATGAGTTTATATCCTTAGTTCTGAGACATTTTTGTCTTAAATTTAAAATTTTAAACTGCAGGTAATGTTTACTTGTTTATCAAAGGTAAGATTGAGTATCTGAATTCACTATTATGAATTTGATAACCTTAAACCTTAGCCTAGTTGATGATGTCTGCATGAAAGGTGTAGGAAATGTTTATTATTTTGTTTTTAAGACTTTACGTATTTGACAAACTGAAGTTTGTGAATATCACGTGGGGTGTGTCTGGGAGGGACAGTACCTCCCAAACACCCTACACACCCCAAGTGATATTGACAAACTTCAGTTTTCAGTAAGTGTTGTGAGTGTGTTAGTTTCAATGTGTGCTGTTGCTTCTGCTCAAGATTGTTGTCTTTGCCCACACCAGCCCTCCCTGACGAACCAGTCGCGAACAGTTGTCCATGATGTACCAGTAAACGTGATCGCTCGCCGACTGTGGGGAGAGTATCAGGAACCAGCCATGCCTCAATTTGACGTTCGTTTTATTCTCCCTTTTCTACCTTTTTAATCAAATTATCTGAATAAGAATACTTGCTAATCTCACTATTGCAAATGATAGCAAACCACAAGACCAAGACCAAGGAATGCCTACTTTTTGAAGTAGTATAATATTGTCATGTTAAAGTACAAAAGTAGAAAATGTTGTTAAAAGATAAAATACAGTGCATGTCCTTTTTATAGCAAAGACATATTACATACAAGGTATGATCAAATTTTTAATGCACAAATATTCACTGCAGACATTTAAAGCCTCAAAGAACTTTTCTTACAATAATGTTTAGAGGAGGATACATCTCAGAACATTAGAACAAGCCTTTTCTTTTAAAATTGGGCAATTACAGTCACAAGAACACAAAAAAATACTTTACACCTTTTATGCCTTATGTAAACTTGTATGATTTTACCCCTTTTCTTGTTTCAGGTGAGTGTGTACCTGCCTCCTCTTAAGACAATCAAAACTGTGGTGGAGAAAATGAAGAACCTGTCTAATTTTCTGGTAAGATTAGAGCTATGTAATCTAAGGTATGTGCTAAGACACTGGCAAAAAAGTTGTGTTTTCAGCTAGTACATAGTTTTACAAGCAAAACTGTATCTACATACATCAATGAGTTCAATACAGCAACAACAATTGCCATTTTGCATGTACAGTACCTCCAGTGCAGTACACACTGCTTTCCCCTTTATGGTACAGCACTAATCCTGTCTCCAGACTGATACAGTGTAACCTTCCCAATCAGTCATCACCACATCTCCACCTGGTGACACAGTAACAGCCCAGGGTTTCTTCATACCACTTCCAATGTAAGACAGAAATCTGCCCTGACTGTCGAACACTTTCACACAACGATTTTCATTGTCAGCCACAATGATGTTTCCCATCCCATCAACACAAATGCTCTGAGGATATTTAAACTGACTTTCATCAGATCCCTCACTCCCAAACTTGAACTTGAAGTTTCCCTCTCTGTCCAAGACATGGACACAGTGATTGTTGTCATCAGTGACCAGAATGTTCCCCTCTCCATCCACAGTGACACATTGTGGCTTCCAAGGCTTTGGTGACCTATGACCTGAACCATATGTCCCCACCTCAGAACCATCTTGGTTAAACACTCGAAGTCGACCATTTTGCCCAGCACGCTGTGTAACAATCACCTGTTCTGTTGCCATAGCTACAGTTATGCCACCGAGGTATCCAACATGTGGCAGATCTATTGTGGCCAAACAGGTGCCTTCCCTGGAATACTGCACTACATGTCTATCACCCACCACCCACAGGTTGCCATTTCTATCTACAGCAACATCCTCTGGCCTTAACTTTTCACCAGTTGGCAGAGTTGTTGTGAACTCTCTGATATAATCACCATCCATTGTGAACACCTGGATTCTTATGTTACCCTGGTCAGCAATGTAAACCTCATTGTCTTGTGAGACAGCTACTCCCCAAGGATATTTAAATTCCCCCCTACCTGATCCCCATCCCCCAAACCTGACTTTCTCCACCCATGGTTGTCCCACCCTGATTGGTCTGACTTTTGTATCTTTAAGTTTAACTTTCCTTTTAGGCTGAACAACCGACTGTTTGACTTGTCCTGTATATTTTGTTGCTTTGGCTTTATTCACGAAATGTTTGTCTGACATGGTTTGTACTGGATCTTGTTGCTGACTTCCACCCTCCACGGGTTGCTTGGCAGTCAGCAGCTCATCATTTCTTGCCTCCATTTCCTTAATGGCCTCCTGAAGCTGCTGTATTTTCTTGTTCATTTCTGCCTTCTGTTCCAGGAGGGCTTTTGAATTCTTCTCTTCCAACAACTTTATTTCCTTCCTTATCGCTTCAATGTTCTCAGCCTTTCCCTTATCAGACTTTGGCTTTTCATTTAACTCTGTTGAGAAAGGTATGAATATGTTTGATTAGTCTCAAAGTTTACAGGTAATGATATGATCATAAAGTGTCTACTAGGTAAATGAACAATCTAGATGCACATCTTATGCCATTCCTTATAGACAGTCACAGCTGTCAGATGAAAACATAGAAATCTAATTGACATGATGGAAATATCAGGCATAAATATAATCCTTGACGTCATTTTTGTTTCCACTGAAAGTTTCAACATGTATAGTTGACTAGTATGTGATAAAAGACTGACGTACCAGGATATTCGCCCTTCAGACTGTCCACAACAAGTTGTAGCTGTGCAGTTTTTAGTGCCTCCATCAGCACATGTATGGTGGCTGCGTTTCCCTTCCGCTTGTGCCATTCCTGCAGTAGTTCCATACAGCGAGACTTGTCGTCCCGCCGTTTGCCTTCAATGTTGTCTATGTCTGGTGTCTCAAACCCCAGACACCAAGCCAGGTCCTTCCAGTCGGAGCTCACCTTGTTCTTTATAAAGATGAAATACCTCCCAACACCTGCAAGGCAACGGTAAGGTGAAACAATAATTTTTGAATAAAGTACAATTTTATGTACAAGTTGTATATAAAAATCATTAGGTAGCTTTTCATAAAGAGTTCTGCCCCTCAGTACATTGTTCAACTGGTTTCCGTGATAACAAAACTCAACAAAAAACTTATTATATAATAAGTGTTATATATGATTGTTACTCCGTGAAGGAGGTCAGGACCTCCGGACGGAGTGTTGTAATCGGCTGATTTTTCATGTTCGCAGTCAAAACACTGGGTTCTCTTCGTGTAATCGGCACGCAATTTGATACGCCGTCTGCGGGCATGCCCGTGTTGATGCACGAATGTGTATTTTTGCCGTTGCTGCTTTCGCGGTCAATGTAATATCGCAGACGCACCCCTACAATTACGAGGCGAATTGGAACGGTCCAGAAAAACGCGTTGTTTGGAATAGCGGGGGGGGAGGTAAAAGTTCATGCAGATACGGGGTGGTTTTTATAAGTGGTTCCAGATGTTTTTGCCCATGGTTAAGAGATGCCAAGTTTTTTGGAAGATGTTCGCAGCCAAAACGCATTCTGCCGTACGTCGCATATCTGTGTAATTTCGCATGTGGTGTTGCATTATGTCCGGGATGATGCACGTCTTTTTATTTTTACCGTAGCTGTTTTGATATTGGAGTAAATGGTTATTTTCGAAACATCCCTACTTTTACAATCCTGTGGAATAGGCCGTAGGTTTAGGCAGTTGTCTGGTAGCAGAGGTACTGTAAGCAGATATCCTGGTTATCTGGCCGACGGTAGTAACACTCGCGGTGCTTACCGCCACTGTTGCTGGAATTTGGCTTGTTCCAGGCGCGCTTAATTAGGTACAGGCACCGTAAGACGGTGGGGCTGTCTTTGTTACTAGACACGACCATGATAGTCCGATCTTTATGTGAATGCAATGATTGTGTGTGTGTTATTAAAATGAACTTCGAACTTGAAGCACAGTATCTTTACACGCCCTCGGGAGGCAGTAATGGATTTAGCTCTTTGTATGTTTTATTGCTTGTGACGCGCCCTCATTGTATTAACCGTTGCCTAATTATAATGTCTG